GGAAAATACGGTAGTTGACTTGTCCAGGACTGTTGCCAGTATACAAAGTTTGATGATGTTTTGTACTCAAACAGGATGTAAAAGTGCATGCAGCCTACCAGCAGCGAATAGGTTGAGTGTGGGATGAGCAGCTGCTACCCAGAACCTGTCATGTTCCCTCCTGAAGGTTTGGACTCCCGTTCTGAAAGTAAGTAAGAATTAAAGAAGCCAAATTCAGCCTTTTAGCCATGTAACAGACTCATTTGGTATTATCTAGAATAGAATAAAGTGGTTACAGAGTCCCTGTGAGCTGCTCATCAGCTTTATTAAAAAAATCATATCATTTTGCACGATTCATGTGACACACAGGCAACATGATGCTCTCACCTCTTTGACATGTCCCAGACTCTGATACTCTTGTCTTCGGAATTACCTGTAAATGGCACAAGCAAATTGTAAGATACTTCAGATAGGATGAATACATGTACATGCATGTCTATCATTTTTTGTTCTTTAGTGCAGTTGCGCTGGGTAGTGTGCTGGTTGTGCTGACTGAAAATGCAAAACACTCTGTTCTTCATCATTGATGGCTCATTAACAATTAGACCCGTGGCCCTTAAGGGCGAAGGGTCTAATTGTTTTAGTATCACCCAGCTAGTCTGACAGAAAAGGTAATAATAAAGTTAGCAAATGCAAGTTGAAGAAATATTTATTTGGGAATAAAACGAAAGAAAGCGTCACGCTCNACTCAAGGACTATTACTAATAGTCCCCTAGTAGCGTAGCCAATCAAAATGCAGGATTTGCATTAGTCCACTAGTTGGGTGATACTAATAATTATTATTCTTGGTGCTCTTTCAAATAGTACTATTCTGATACTTCTCTCAGATACAAAGGAATCCTGATTTTTCAAACCTCCAAGAGAAACCACAGTTGGTTTGAAAAAATGGGTAATTTGAGAAATTGGGTGGTAAAATTAGTGTTGGAATGAGTAGAGGGAAACAGTAACTGGTTTCAAGAAATGGTAGTTTCAAAAAATCGAGGATTTCACCATATATGCAAAATCTGACAGTTCACAAAATCCAGTAACATGGCTGTGACAATGTGCATCTGTTTTTCCGGGTTCTTTGAAGAGTCAGAAGTGACTCACTCATAACTACTTTCTTGTGCAGCCTTCAGAAAAGTGCTTTAAAAGTATCCACCTTTCCTGGCACATGGAGGCCAGAGAACTAATGTCTCCAGCCATTTCTTTGTGAGATACTTTGTTTTTGTACCTTCCTTTAGCAGATACATTTGTCAACTGAAAGTTGTTGAAAGCTGTTTCTACTGAAGTAAAACCATCAAGCACACTTACTTAAAATGAGCTCTTGTCTAGGGTGGAACATAACACAGGATACATTATTATAGTGTCCACGACATGTGTCCACTTCCCAAGCCTTGGAGTCTGGAAATGGTAAGAAAAATAAAAATTATTGCCAGACTTAACACATCACTTCAGATGTTTCCAATAGAAGAATTATTATTTTCAGAACCAGTAATATTGCTTAGAATTGTTGTTTCTCAAATGTGTATCAAGATCACAAGTATTACCATTCATTCTCCACAACTTGACTTGTCTGTCATCAGCGCCGGATACAATGAGTGGCATGGTAGGATGGAAAGCAACCCAGTTCACACCACGGTCATGACCCTGACATCATAAGAAAGCAGTTGTCATTGTTTACCTCTAAGCAACATCAACATATCAATTCTGCGCATTTGTTTAGCTTCATTAAATGAGCTACATGTACATGTCCATGCATGCTTTATGGGGTTTTAAACTAAGTCAGTGACTGGCAATTTTGTCTAGCAAAATTTTGAAGCTGGTTGCTTTTTCCTTGTATACATGCACTGCAAAATTTGAGTTAAACAAATTTATTGTGGTCATATTAACATAAGTAGCATTTTCAGATTGGATTGTTAATATTTCACCTCCAAAACATGCTTCACAATCGCATCTGACTGACCAAAGAGGTCAGTGTGGCCAGGTGTCTTCAGGTGTTCCTCTAAGCCACCCGCACCAGGTGCAACAGTTTTCTTCCTGAGACCTGTCAGATTTAAAAATTCACTCACTCTAAGCATAATTAAATAGAAATGTGTGTTAGGGAATAGAACAAGCGTTATTATTTAAAAATTTCATACTTATTGTTTTTGTATTGACACTGTAAAATCTAATAATAATGTGTGTTATCGTTTGTCTCACGATGTAGTCACTTGAGATGTAGATTGCGACGTTTCGACTGCTTACTGCTAGTCTTCTTCAGGTGATAAGGTCAACTAATTGCACGGTGTCATTTATATCACAAAGGTCGGTTGTGATTGGTGCATTGCGATCCTCCTATTGTTCCATTGTTCCGTTGAGTAGCTGTTCCCCGAGGGACCACTGAGAGAACAGCTACTTGCTAAAACAATGGAACAATAGGAGGATCGAAATGCACCAATCACAGCCGACCTTTGTGATATAAATGATACCGTGCAATCAGTCGACCTTATCGCCTGAAGAAGACTAGCAGTAAGCAGTTGAAACGTCGCGATCTACATCTCAAGTGACTACAAAGTGAGATAAACGATAACGCACTTTATTATTGCATCTACCACGATGAATAACAACAACCTTTTCCTCGACACTGTAAAATCTGTACCAGAAAATTTTTGAACTAAAAGAGGCTAAGCTAATGGAATGACAATGCAAGCACCCACTTCTTTCTGGTCAAACTTTCAGTGTGTGACATTGTCTATCACTGTTGAATCCAATTTACAAGTGTACACAGTTACTATATGATACACACCAAACAATAACTACTATAAAATAGTAACACAGTTACCTGAAATATCCCATACTCTAACTGTCTGGTCAAGAGAGGCCGAGACAACCAAGTCTTCAGTAGGGTGAAACTGTGCACACATCACATAATGATTATGCCCTGTCAAAACACTAGACAAGATGCACCAAAAAAAAAAACATTATCAGGTGGAAATAAACTCTATTGCATAACGCATTTATGTTTTACAGTGCCTGGTCAAAATGGTAAACAAGTCGGACATACATGTACTACTTGATATAACTAAAATTACGTTGTTTATTATTTCTCTCTTGCAGGATTGTTCTTGTAAGAGGATGGTGTTGAATCACTCATGTGCTCCAGAGAAACCATTGAACCATTTCTAAAGTCACTCTCAGATGAACACCAGGGGGAAAGAAGAAAAGAGGCTCTAACAAATCCACCTGGAGGAGGACTGTAGAGGCAGAACTTCAGGCTCTACACCTCAACTGGGAGCTAGCCTCACAGCTTGCAAAGGACTGATAGGAATGGAGAAACTTTGCTGATGCCCTATAGCCCAGTTTAAGTCCAAAGACTCAAATTCCAAAGTACTGATGATAATAATGATGACGATGATAATTTATTCAAAGACTTGCCAGACAAGAATGCATTAAATATAACACACCCTTCTTGATACATGTATATCCTATGTACAGTGGATGACTCACCAGATGCAGGTTCGTGACTGCCAGTTCCAGATGCGGATTGTTTGATCATCAGAGGCACTAATTATCCATGGATACTCCTGTGAATGAAATGTTATGTACATGTGGTTACTGCACAAGACAGGTTCAAGTCAGAGAAGCTTGAAAATGTCTTAATAAATGCATACACATGCACCACTTACTTGGTGATAGAAAGTAGTTCTGATGTAATCGAGATGGCCCAACAGAGTGAAAAGACATTTCTTCTGTTTGTAATTCCAGATCTACCAAAATACAAAAGTTTTCCTAGTTAGTTACACACGCTGTTTAACTAAATACAAAGAGCAAATGCTATACACTCATATAAATGTTGGGCATAACAAAGGACCAACCTTAATTTTGTAATCATCTCCTCCAGAAACAAAAAGGGGCTGGTTGGCATGGAAGTTGATACCTCTCACAGGACCTAGAAAAGACATGTTTGATATCAGGTGAACTTGAGTGTGAGATCATTATAATTAAAATCGTATCACTTCCAACAGTCCTTTCTTTATTTTTCAAAGGATGGACAACTGCATCCAGTGGATACATCACCATTCAGTCAATGAGTGTTAACAAGGCTTACTATACTACATGTATTAACTGAGTTTACTAATTAATTCTTATTCTGTGAATGGCATAATACAATGTAAGTCACATAGACATAAGTGTTTTCAGGGTCCGAAATTGCGACTGACTGGTCGCCAATGCGACCAAATATTAAGTGTTGGCGATCAGAATTTTAAAACCTAAAACTTTCAGGTTAGTCGCCAGTTGGCTCCCTTAGGAAAAGGTTAATTTTGGACCCTGGTTTTACTGGAAAATATACCACTCATGCAAAACTACATCCAGGACCAGATTGGCATATATCCATATCCTCACTAGTGAAGATATTGACAATATGGTCAATCACTTTCTCGTGCATGTTTGTGCATTAATAAAAAGAAAATTGCATGATGGCTTGGAGATATGTATCCTATTTTCTCATGTTAAAAACAATACTTTAATGAACAAATGCAGCCAGTGAGCAAAATATTATTTTTAAAATAAAGAACAAAAAATTCATCTCTTCGCACTTCCGTGTCTTATGCTCTCTATCAGTATAAGACAGGGAAGCTGCTCCAACACACTCACCGTCATGTTCATCAAATCTCTCCAGCAGTGTGCACATGCGGTAATCCCACAACTGAATAACACCATTGTGCAGACTTGCAAGAACCCATGGCCTGTTGGGGTGAAAGGCAATGCCTGAAACAACAAAGAAGAAAAAAAGTTCACAAAACCACACAGAGCAACTCCCCATTCATGGTTTAAAACAATGCATGTAAGTGGAACAAGGGGATGCTAATTTAGCCATTTTATTCAGGAAGTAACCAGTTGGCAGAAGCACCCAGAAAGAGATGTCCTGAACATGTACTGCAAAAGCTCTGAAATAGTCTACTTGTTACAATACCAGTAAAAAATCTCAGCTCATCTAAACCTTTGTGAACAAAAGTGAAAACAATCTCCTGTACGTAATGTGGGTTTTGAGACAGCTCAACTGAATAAACTGATTTGATAAAATCAACCACAGTGCATAAAATTAAAATTAATAAAATTATTATTTTATTCGTGTACATGTAATAAAAGAAGTCTTTAATTTTCAGTGTTGAATCTACAAGGATAAGCTTATAACTTGCTGCGGGAGAAAACCTTCGCCTTTAATAACACTATCCGTGTTTTTATACTGCTCCATCCTAAAGAAAACACTACTAAAGTGATATCATTAGAAAATAGCATGATACAACCTATCAAGCTTATATATAAACACATGTACAATAGAGAGTTCAAATTCTTGCACCCTAAAGGTCTCTCCACCAAGGTAAAAGTGAACATAAGAGGGACATAGCTCGGCGTACTTGGCTTCTGTGAAATTATCTTGTTGATAGCGATGAAAAGGAATCACAGAAGAACGATCACAACAGTAGAAACTATTATTTTGAATGAAGCTCCATTGTGAAAGCATGCATGGAACGGATTAAAAAGGACCATGGTTCTTTCCCCTTACCTTTCACTCTGGCTGATTTTGTTTCAAATTTCGTGAGCATGGCGACTAAAACCCCTCAGAAATATACAAGAAGGTACCAAGTACTGATTAGCGAATCAAAAGTAATAACACTCTCACTAGGACCACCAATATGCAAAGAAAATCGGTAGAAAAAGTATAAAATTCTACCGCAGAAAACAATATGGCGGCCGCCACGTCACTTCGGACATGTGTGAGCGCCTCGATTTCATGTAGCACAGTAATTCCTACCTCCCCTCCCCCAAATAATTCGTAATTTCGTTCCCAGTTCTAAAATCATGTCTGTCGCTCTTCCTCTCTCTCTTTCCTCTCATCGATCGCCATCGCGGTGTAACTCGGTGTGCAATCCGCCGAAATCGTTGAGAAAATCGATACATCATGTCTGAAGGATTGACTCTGAAAGGAACATTAAAGGGGCATAATGGCTGGGTAACACAAATTGCCACCAATCCTCAAAGTCCAGACAAGATTTTGTCCGGTTCTCGAGGTATATATGTGATTCAGTGAATCTGTTTAGTTTGTTGGTGTTTCATGTAGTGTTCATTTATAACCCCACAATGATCGAAAGGAAATAAAATATCTTTCTGTTACTTGAATTTCTTAACTTGAACTTGCCTCTATCCAGAAGTCGTCATTTTCATATTTATGAGACGAATCGAAATAGTTATTATTAGAATTACCACAGTTCATTTCTTTTGTGCATCAGAACTACCGTAAGTAAAATTGCCGTTGAATACCTCAGAAAGTAATACAAGCTTTATCTTTGTAGTCAAACGGGTTCATGTAGTATTATTCTAACTATATCAAACAAGACTTATTACTGGGGAAATACACCATGTAGTTGGATAAACAGAGGGACACTTGGCCTTTTTTTTGTTATAAGTGAGATTAGACCATTTTTAATTTGTATTCTTATGTTGAACTGGACCTATCTTGCAGCAGAATGCAAGAGAATCTTTCCAAATGCAAATGATACGAAGCTGTTTCAATTTATAATATTCCATGGCAATAACCCTTTACTGCAAGTTAGTTCCAGTCCAACTTCAAGAATGAAAGGAGCATATTTGATAATAATAATTTAATCATGATTCCTACATTATGGTGATCCAACTGTGCATACCTCTAACCAACCGAGTTTGAGGTCCCGTACTGAAAGTTACAGACCAATTTTGTTTCCATTTCAATTTATGGCCCAGGTGTGAAGTGCATGGGCCATGAATTGAAAAGGAACAAAATGAGGATCAAATAGACGAGGTTAGATAGATATTTATTAGATCTCTGCTGTGTGTTTGGTGGGCTCAGGAAACAAATTATAGTCAAGCTGAACTGAATGGCTTCAAATGACTGATACATGTTGTAAGTAAAACCAGTCCATTTTAAAATTTTTGTTAAATTGTTAGGATGTTTCAAACCACAATTTAAAGAAAACAAAAGTTTTAAACTTTTATTTACTATGGAAGTTAAGAGCACTTAGCAATAGAATTTTGGCAACAAAACCAGCTTGAAATTTTAGCATGCTGCTGTACAGTGGAGTTTAAGGCCTGTCCAAACGGGAAATGTTTGGCGACCAAACACCATCAAACATTGTTTGGTGACCAAACATTTTACCGTTTGGCCACCTTGTTTGGTGCTGTCTGATCATGTTTGATCGTGTTTGGTCGTGTTTGATAAAATTTGAAGGCCATCAAACACTCGCTCAAACAGCTTAAAACATTTCTTTTGTTCTCGTTTTTGATGGGCGATGTTTTGTTCGTTTGGACAGCCATGTCAAACATGTTTGGCGCGCTCATGCGTACCACGCTTGCTCAGTGGCTTGTATCCATTGTTTGATCTTTGTTTGATCGAACATGTTTTAACCGTTTGGCCACTCACTTCAAAGGCAATCATCGTGTGGAAATTAATAACTATATTTTTGAAGTCATCTTGTGACCACGTCTGCAAAACACAATCTTTATCAAACAATGTCAAGCATTGTTTGATATTTTTCCAACCTTCCCTTGCAAATGACTGTTAATTTTGTTACCCTCTCAGGGAGAAATCCATAGAATCCACTTTAGGAATATTTGTTCTCAGGTCTCAAGTGAAGGAAACTGCTATTATGGCAGAACTCAAATAACATGTACTCTTGAGTAACTTTTGCTAAACAGTTTTTTCCTCCTTTAGATAAATCTCTTATTGTCTGGGATCTGACCCGTGAAGAAACCAACTATGGTGTGGCTTCAAAATCCCTAAAAGGTCACAATCACTTTATTTCTGATGTGGTTATGTCATCTGATGGCCAGTTTGCACTTTCTGGCTCTTGGGACAAGACACTCAGATTATGGGATCTTAATTTGTAAGTTGTGCTCTTTTTAGTTCACTAGTCCAATTATGTTTGATTTTGTTTTTTGTTATTTTTAAATATAGACCAACCTTATCCCTTGAGTCCACATGTTTTTGTTTTTGGTCAGCAGTGACCAAAAGCCCAATGCTCTGGGCAAATTTAAAAAAAAAAGGAACCTGAAAATCTTGGGTCTGGTTTGATTGTAATCATGCATTGAAGCTCAATAATGGTTTCTGACAGTGTAGAGAGAGTAACTGCTGCGACTAATAATGGTTTGCATTCCAATTTCCCAAAGAGGAATGGATTATTTGGTGTTAAGCAAAAGAATCACAGCCTCTGGGAAGGAGATTGAATGAGAGTTGGTGTGTATTTTAATTGGCTAAAAGCTGGCATTTAAGTCCTTATCAAAGAATGAGATATTGAAATCCATCTTTTATTGTTCTGCATGCATTGAATCTCGATGCTTTTAGTAAATATTCAAAACAAAAGCCATGTTTGAAACTGTTGTAAAACATTCCAGTTAGTTCAGAAAGCTTTAAGTGCCTATGAAGTACTGCTTATTTGAAAGGCTTTTCAAAGTTAAGAAGAATGGCGTTTCCTTTTTAGAATATCTTTTTTCATTTCAGAGATATTTACGTTTTTGTAAGGAAAGTGATGACGTCATAGGTGGTTCCACTAAAACAGCACAACACTCAATTGAGAATAACTCTAGAAATATTAAAGCAGTGTTCTTTAAACTTGGCACTAGACAGAAACAGAATTGTCGTGCCATTGCCATTGCCATTGCCATTGCCATTGCCATTGCCATTGCCATGACAACAGTTATGCTGCTGGTTCTGTCTTAATTAAGACTAAAATTCCCAGATTTTATCTCAAACAAGGATCATCCACTCCCACCAATCTAATGGGGAGAGTTAAGACAATATGGGAACCATGTGTGTTCCCAGCAAGACCCTCTGTCCCACTTTAAAAGGTTGCAAATGAGGATATTTGGTTTTTCACAGAAAGAGACTGGAGCCAAGAGTGTTGCCATGGCAACAACATAGTAGGCATCATTCTGTTTCTTTTGTGATGTGCATTTCTGATGCCAAGGTTGAAGTACACTGATTTAATATTTCTAGAGTTATTCTCGATTGAGTGTTGTGCTGTTTTAGAGGAACCACCTATGACGTCATCACTTTCCTCATTTGCATAATACAAAAACATCAATATCTCTAAAACAAAAAAAGATACTCCAAAAAAAGAAAACGCCATTGTTCTTTACTTTAAAAAGCCTTTCAAATAAGCAGTAATTATATTTTACTTCATAGGCACTTAAAGAAGTGTATAAAACACTGGTCTGCAGCTTGCATTTGAATTATGGCAACCTAAAACTTGATTATGGTGTATGATAATAATTGTTATGGACCACAGATGTCATCTTTATGTTTGAAATAAATTTAAATGTTATATGATCCAGCGATCTTATTTTTTGTGCATTTTTATGGGTTCTTAACAGCGGTACCACAACCCGCCAATTTGTTGGTCACACCAAAGATGTTCTGAGTGTTGCATTTTCTGCTGACAATCGTCAGATTGTCTCTGGATCACGAGATAATACCATCAAGTTGTGGAACACCCTGGGGCAATGCAAGTATACTATTCAGGTTGGTATAACATCAGGTTGACAAGAGAGATGTACATGCAATATTTAATCATGAGGTTCTTATTTGAACTACAATAGCTTTTCTTGGATGTGTTTTCAGCCTAGGGTGTCCACATCTTGGTTTTCTTGACAATTAACCCAGCTGGTAATAACTAGTTTTACAAGCTATTCTAGGTCTCCCCTGTGCACTACACAATTAATATAGTTCAAACCTGTTATACATTTTCCCAGTGACTGCAACACCATTTTTTAACTCATGAATGCATAGCTATGAGCAAGTTACATGTATGGCAGTTAGTTGGGGAAAAATTCACTCACTTGCTCAGTCAGTGGGTCTAAAACATTAATTCTATGGGATAGTGCACCCTTCTAGAGGGAGAACATTTGCCCAACCATTGTGAATAAAATGGCTGCCCAAATGATGAACTCATCTTTCACATTTGGAGTCATACAAGTGCTCCAAAATTTAAACTATTTGCAACAAAAGTGGGTGTATAATTTGATCCATCGATAGCTTTGACCGCCAAAAATGTGCTAGGGTTTCACCCTCAAAAATAGATGTTTTTAATTTGCATTTGTTCAAACAGGACGAGGGACATACTGAATGGGTCTCCTGTGTACGGTTTTCACCAAACTCAAGTAATCCAATCATTGTGTCTGCTGGCTGGGACAAAATTGTCAAGGTATTTCTTCATTTTGCAGTCCTACTGAGTTAAATGGCCACACAAAAAAGTGTTATGGCAGCTATTAAGGTACAGCTCTATTGTTCATCATATGTAGGTTTGGAACCTGACAAATTGTCGTCTGAAGACCAACCACTTTGGACACACAGGGTATCTGAACTGTGTGACTGTGTCGCCAGATGGTTCTTTGTGTGCTTCTGGTGGAAAGGATGGTATGGCCATGCTGTGGGACTTGAACGAAGGAAAACACTTGTACACCCTTGATGGAGGTGATATCCTGAATGCCTTGTGTTTCAGTCCAAACAGATACTGGCTGTGTGCCGCAGTAGGACCTAGCATCAAGGTTTGGGTAAGTTGAAAACCTTTGTGGAAATGAGAACTTGCGGTAGTTTGGTTATGGACTGCTCAGTAAGGAAGGTCATAGCTTTTGAAATCTGTCAACCATCTTATATTGAGCAAGGGTGCTTGTGCACATGTAGATCTGTACTTACATGTTCGCATGTATGTGTAGATGTACAATCAGAGAGTCCTGTCCAAATGACTTGGGTGGTACAGTGGCCTTCTGACTAGGGCTTCAGAATCTGAATCAAGCAGTCTGTGTTTGAGTGCTGGCCTGTGTCATATTGATGTGTCATTAGTGAGGACAAGTCACTATAGTGTACTTTCAAGACAGTTTTTATTTCAGTTCTTATTTGTTCTTTAGGATCTGGAGGCCAAGTCAATCGTGGATGAGCTGCGACCAGATGTGATCAACATGGGAGGCAAAGCACCACCAGCTCAGTGTATTTCCCTCGCCTGGTCCGCTGATGGCCAGACTTTGTTTGCAGGTTACACGGACAACTTGATCCGTGTGTGGCAAGTCACTCGTGTTTCATAAGCCATGTTTCATAGCAGAGGAATTTTACAATTGTAAAAATAAAGTCATCTTGTAACCCTGTTTGCTTTGTTATTTATGCTCATCATATTGTTACCAAATGTCCAGCGGCCATTTCACTACAGCAGCCAGGAATTTTCATTGCAACGATACCTTTTACTCCTACCGTAACCTATCTTCATGGCCACCCCTTCACAAAAGTCAGTATATTCCTACCACAATGTGACTGTTATAGACAGGTTAAGCTTTCTTTCAAATGAAGGGCTGAGGGCAGAAAGGGCTGCTTTCTTACAGCTGGTTTTGATTATAAAAGAAAAATTATCAATTCTGCTTTAACCAGTTTGTGATCAGGAAATAAAAGACAGATGACTTCATTGCATATTTTCTGTTTTGAAAAAAGATTAATCTAAAAATGCACATACTTAGCCCCCATGGTATATTGGAGTGGTGTACCTTCCCCATGCAGTTGGGTATGACATACTGATTCCCTTTTTCCTCTTATTACAATAAGGATTGGATCACTCTAGTCTGCTTGTGCATTCTGCGTTTTTACATGTGAACCCAGTAAACACATCATCAAATTGATAAGCATGCATATGCGCTTTCTTGCCACTGAGACTTTTATTTATTCCCAAATGCTCATATGTTTTTCACTTTGTTATGTTGTTTTCTTGGTGAACCTGTAAACTTTCTGGTGCATCCTGTAGACTCAGCTTGTCAAGGTTATGGGATGCACTGTTACCATAGCTAAGTATGCAACTAAGTTAAATAAACTACGTCCAGACAAACAATCTGTGGACTAGGTTACTGAGTAAAATCGCTATTTCCTATTGGTAATGGTATTTCACCAGCGTGTTCTCTAACAAGCATTCTCCAATCTTTGATCAGCACCCCCACCCCGCCCCACCCTCCTTAATCTAATGCGGCCTAACCAAGCCCTTCCCACGATGTTGGAGACTGGACCAAAATAAGAAAAAACCTCTTATCTTGAGTCCAGTTATTCCAGTGAAGTAAGAAGTGATGCTTAATCCGGCCGAAGGGACGGAGGGAATTGGATGAGTTTTGTCAGTGGCCTATGCTCTGAAACGAAGTAGACAGGCTTCAGATCAGTTCAAATCTCTTAATTTTTCATAGGTGAGAAAGGGAAGTTTAATCTAAGCGCCTTCCCTATTCGCAGTCTGCTCTTTGAATTTGCGCCAGTTTTGTATTCTTTGACAGAAAGAATCTTCGTTTACAATGTAATTTCTATCTTTCGCGTGCTAGCACACTCGGATACTAACATTCATGGAGGTTTGCAGTGGCGGAGCTTGTTTTGCTGTTTTGTTTAGCTTGTTTTTCAGCTAAATAATCGAGGCGAAAGCCGAACGAGAAAGAGAAACCTGGGCAAGGCAAGGCTCTCTTGCCTGTTTTAATATCAGGGATTTTATGCCGGGCTTAATCCCTGGAGGGTTTCTAGAGCTTGCTCTTCCAGGTCCGCTTTTGTTAATATCGGTGAAGCTTGTCGCCGACAGTACCAGTTTCCAACAAAATTAAAACTGACCTAATTCTACTGTAATCGCACAAAAATTGAAGACAGATATTTTATTAAATAAGTTCATTCCCGATCCCCCGATCCATAGATACATATCGAGACACCCAGCATTAAATATTAATACATTGTTTTATATTCCAATATATTATTTTCAATTTTGTCTTTTTTTCCGCGATTAATAGGGTTTCAATTCAACCCTTCCATACTAAAACATACCTTATAGTCCTTATACAAGAGTTATTATTCCCCTTCAGGTTCCCAGCCCCTTTGAAATTTCCTTGTTCGACTCTCAGGAATTGGGAAGAAACGCCTGTAATGTAACCTTGAAAAAGTAGAATATAGGCTTCTCCCCTTCCTTCTAAACGGCATTGATGCTGTACAGCACGCCCGTACCATTAACCCTTTCTGGAACAAAGTGATGAAGTCCATTTGTAGGTTTTGGGTCTGGTGTAACATAGCGACGTTTTGCTAACAACATGAGTGCAATGCTTTCTCAAAGCCGGCTCCACGGCAAGACCTATAAAACTAGCGACTAAAACTCCAGCTGATTCGCCAATTGTTACCAAACCCAAGCAAAATTCTTTGTATTTCGGTTCTACTACAAGGGGTACTGCGCACACTGTGTTGGCGAAAACTAAACCCGACAGCGAGCCGATGATGAAACAAAGAAGCAACACCGACCACACGGTTTGAAAGAGACGATAGTAGGAAGCGCATATTGAAAAGCTCATGACGACCACCAAGATTACAGCGAAAATCCATGTCCGTTTTATAACAAGGCGAGGGACGAACGCGGGCTTAGCCCAAGCGACTACGCTTAAATACGAGCGCAGAATGAATTCGCCAACGCCGTTTAAAAGTACGTAATACACAAAGTGGTCTCTTGGTGCGAAAGGAGCGTCTTCGAATGCTATCGTCGTGAACACCGCTTGGATCGTGATGTACTGCGTGATATAAGCGGTACAGAGTGTGATCATGTAAGGCAAGATTTGACAGGCGCCAGTAAACTTTTCAGCCCATGATAAATACAGAGGGTCCTTATTTGAGTAGTCATCTGAGCTCCCGGTGTCACTGGACTTGAGTTTGTTGTAGGAGTCCAGTAAAGCATAAGGCTTGATGCGGTCCTTGTCGAGCATGTAGTAAAACACCAGGATCAGGAGTGTGGCCGGCGAAATGATTATAAGAGTTATCTGAGGAGAGATGCATGCCCATGTAGTCATTCCTGAAAAAAAAAAATATGAAAAAAGACAAAAACTAAGCGAAAAGCTAAACCGCTATAACATAATATCCTCTATTAGCCATATCAGTTGAGTGTAAATTTGGTTAGTGTTTATCAGAATTTTATCCAAGCCAGTAGCCTCACGTTGAGGAATTGAATTGATCTAACGATCAGTGTAGCTTCCGCTTTCAAACAAAATAAAAAGCCCATGCCGATAACACACTGCTCAGAAGCGAAAATGCATGTGGTTATGAATTTTAGGCTAGAAAATCTAATTAAGGTTTCAAATCAATTTTCACCTCATCACGGCGACTTTGACGCCTTTGTATTCACGATGGTGCTTTCTCTCACACAAGAAATACGCTTAGAACGACAACGTTTTGCCGCGACTTAAATCAGTTCGGCTGCAGTTGAAGAAATATAAATAATAATAAAATAAGTCTCTACCGATTGAACTACTGTCTTTAAGGTTGGCCTTTCCTAATCTCTTTTAACTTGATAGCGCTAACTTGATAGCGCCCCTTTAACAGCAAACTAAGTGAGAACGTCAAGAAAGTGTCGAGGAACTACGTCAGTTCTGTTTTAAAGCGGTTAATTTTCCTTTGTTTGCTCAGCGCTAATGGACTTTGTTTCTTTCTAACAGCTACTCTCTATTCTCGCGATAACTCTTCAAAGCACTTTTTCGCTATCGGTACCCGGTGAAATAGCCCGGTTAAATAGGTAGAATTACTGAATCATCTCCATATGTTTCCGCTTCAGAAGTAAAACTTCTTGCGTACAGCGCTCGGAAGATTGTTAATTAGTAATGTCGTTGACTAGGTTCTATATATTCAACGGTAAAAAGGTTAACAGGTCTCGCTTTCATCGTACATACATAATTCACGCAGTATGGTATAAAACTGAAATTATAAAGTATTACATAAGTAGCCTCTTGATAAAGGATGCTAACCTCTTCACAATCTTTGAGCTTTAATCCCAGACTTTCTACGTGTAAACTGCGTTTAATAAGGGTGAAAATTTCAAGTTCCACCATGTCGGAAAAATCCTCCTTCTGATTCAATGTTTAAAATAAGTTTATGTACCATTTAGGTGATATATGGGAAAGCCCGAGGCCCGCTGAATTATTCTCTCTCACGATTGACTGAAGTGAATTTACTGTACCTGTGTAGTAGATAGGTCCAAGCAATATGCCAGCTCCGCTCCCAGCGGCAAAGGAAGTGATGGAGAACCGTCCATAAAAGGCGCTCAGAGCAAGAAAAGAGATCTCTCCCAAGCCATGGGCCAGCGCGTTCAAAGAGACGCCGATGATTTTCACGTAAACGCTATGAACAGTTATGAGCAGTAGAGTACCACAAGCCATAGCGATGAACACGATCAGTGTCCGCCAATAGTAAGGTATTCTTTGCATGTACCAGGGTAGAAATGAAGTTACGATTACCATGGTGGCGACGTGGGAAGCAAGAATGCTTGTTGTGGGAATGTAAGTTCCTCCTAAGATGTCTTGAGAACCCGAAACAACAACACTGAAGAACGAATGAAGCAACATTGCCAGGCCGCCAAAACTGATGCAGATTTTGATGTGATCGCGCCGTGTGAACCCTTCGTCGTCAACATGATCTTCGGGGTTGACAATGAGTTCGTCTGCTTCAGAGTCTTCTTCGCCGCTTGTGAATTCAGGCTCCATTGACTTCAGCTCTCACTGAACTAAACTCAACTAACAAAGGGAGTTAGGCCGCAGACGTTACTCGACGCTAGAGTTCTAAAGCGTTGTTTTCACTGAACGCTAAAACACAGAAAAAAAGTCATGTTAAGGACACAGAAAGATAAGTTCTCTCGCAAAACAATTCTAGCTTGAAATGCAGGTTTGTTCGAGTTCACAGCAATAAACAATGAAGCTTGCGGGCGGTATAATTTATGCTGGCTTAAAACTTTTGTTCTGTTTGAATGACATCAATCTAAACAGAATTTGAATTTTTAATGAAATAAGTGCACTTAAACCTGTCAGTCACTTCCCGTCTCCTTTTACAGTGTAATGTTTTCTTTAACTCATTTTTTTAAGTGCAACGACAGACAAGACTGAAAATGCCGGCTAGATCATGTTTCCTTCAAATTTCTTGTCGCAAACCCTTTGCCGGAAAATGTTCCCTCTAGTAATTTTATCTCAGTTGTTTATTCACTTGGTAAACGAAATTTTTTGGTTACTGGGGTAACTCCCAAAAAGTAGTTTGCTACATTTAATATCACTTTTAACATGCCGGAAAAGACAAAATACACAAAACACACATACGAGAAAGTCTGCTGTCCGGCAACCGAAGGTAAAACTCCCAAAGGGTTTTCATTCTCAGGTTATAATTTACATGCAAATGCTCTCTCGTCTTTTGTCAGCTCGATAACAACGTTAAAAGTGTAAAATATTCCACTGAAAAGTCAAACTCGTTAACCACTGATGAAATCACTCAGTTTCATTATTATCTTTCTCGTCTCTAAGGACCCGCCGTAACTGCAAAGAATCTCAATATTGTCACATTGAAAATGACAAAAACTTTCTGTCGCAGTTAACCATTAAATTTAACAGCTGTCCGCTTTTATCACAAACTATCAAAAGTAGTATTGATATTCCTAAAAATCAATACGGTCGAACCGCTGAAGCGGCAATATCCTTGGGGACACTGGCCGCTTGAGGCTTGTGGCTACTGTTGCACATAATAAAGCCTATCACTGTTTGGTTCTGAGGCACTTTTAACGAAAAAAAAAACGCCTTTGGAAATCACCATCGCAAAAGTTTTTTACCCTTGGGTTAATTGCTTAGCCGGTGGTACTGCTAGACTAGCCTGCAGAACAGGCGGATAAGCGGACTAGCACGATACACGAGCGTGCGCGCGAAGCTTGACGCAATCTTCGTGGGCGTTAGTCTAGTTGTGATTTTGCAATGATGGCTCAGCAAGGTTTAGAAAAGAAACAGTCAAATATGTCCAGGTTATAGGGCCGCCGCATTGACTAATCGAGACTAATGTAACCTCTTCACTGCCCAAATATCGGCAAGTACGGTGACACTATAACCAAACGTGTTACCGTTTGGGTAACTGGAATACTATGGAAATGTACACTCTTCGGAGATAATCACGATTTTGGGAGTCCTTCGGAAGTCCTTCGGAATTAGGCTTCTGCAGTGAGTCTAGGCAGCGGATTCTCAGACGGTTTAAGGGAGTTAGCCGTGGGTCTAAGGCGCCCGCCATGATAGAGAACCACGTCAGTTTTCAAAATTTTATCGTTTGCTTACTTTAAACATTAAAACTCTCAAAACTAGATTTGTAGAAGTAAACCAGTTAGTATGGGTTATTGACCAAGTGCGAGGTCAAGATGGCTGGATATTGGCCAAGTTCTTTTTTTGCGTGTTTATGGACCGAGACGGAGTCGAGGTCCATAAGCTCGCAAAAAAGAACGAGGTCAATATCCAGCCATCTTGACCGAACAAGCTTGGTCGATAAAGGATTTATTATATGGCTTTCGCGGAAATTTNGAGCGGGCAAGATAGCTCCATCTTGCCCGCTCGGGTAGCCAATCACAGCGCAGGATTTGATTCATCTTGCCCGCTCACGGAGCTAGCCACATAATAATAATCATTAGTATATGGCTAGCTCCGCGAGCGGGCAAGATGCATCAAATCCTGCGCTGCGATTGGCTACCCGAGCGGGCAAGATGGAGCTATCTTGCCCGCTCGGAACTACCCGCCGTTTTCCGCAAGAAAAATTTCCCCGAAAGCCCTTTAATAAATCTTTTACTTACCAAGCTTGTTCGGTCAAGATGGCTGGATATTGGCCTACTTCTTGTTTTGCGAGTTTATGGACCTCGACTCCATCTCGGTCCATAAACTCGCAGAAAAAAGAACTTGACCAATATCCAGCCATCTTGACCGAACAAGCTTGGTCAATAACCCATATTTCCTGAAAAAGGTTTGACGTTGTATTGTGCTATTGATGATGTTTAGTTGTGTAAAAGCACAATTTTGATTTGTAACCAGGCATCTGTTCTAAAGTTTGGAGCAGAGTTCCCTATAATCTGCGTATTTTCTTTGAGCTGTTTTCTAATTAATTATAGCAGTATAGTTTCGCAGATCACGAGAGGAGAAAGCATTATTTTGTTAACTTGACCGACAGTACGTACCATCTGACTCAGCCGTTGCTGTATCGCAGTTCACGGTTTAATTAGAACAGCAAGAATGATTAGAAACTCGTTCTGCCATATCGATTCAGTGAGGATTTGCCTGCCCTTTTCCGTCTCAGTCCCCCTAATTTCCAAGCTAAATCAGTTGACTAGACTGAATTTTGCAGAGTAATTAAATGGGGCACAAAATTTTTCAGCGGGTTTAGTGTTGCCGGTCAGTTCTCGATGCAAGAGACAAAGTTGAAGAGAAAATCATCAAAATTACTTTTAATACGGATTATATTTTGAAAACCGCTTACTGTAAAGTGAGAAAACACGCTAAACCCGATGAATGAAATCTGTTTATTTGGCCGTGTTCAAAATACCTTGGGTGCTTTTCACCAAGGTTAGAGAAGACGCCACGCTGGCGAGGCTCTTGGAACCTTTGAAAAAAAGGCCTTTATTACACTGGGTATGTTCATGCAAAGGTACTGATTTGATGTGAGTGGACTGAAGTCTGTAATAATTCAGCGAGTTTTCGCGGACAATTTTGAATTGGAATAACGATAATTTACTAATTTGTATTACTATTTTACCATTTGAAAATGATGTAACTTAGGGTGACATCGAAAAGTTGTGTTAAACTTTTCTCGCCAATTATCATTCTACTTTCACCAACGAGCAACGAAGACGAGGGCTATTAAAATTTAATTGTTCGGCTAATTGTCATAAGTATTTCTATTACTGTTACTATCGATACGAAATTTGGGGTAAATTGATCCGCTTCCAACCAATCAGAAGCGCGTATTTACTATAGCAGAATTTGTCTTTCTAAATTATGTATCATTCGAAAAAAGATTATTTATAGATATTTAGTTTCTGAATTTTAGTTGGAAAGGTCATCACGTCGTGAGTTTCCAAATCATTCAGGCTACAAAAAAAATTCAGGTTCTCTCGCAATTTTGGCTAACGAGTTTTCCCTCGTCGGACATCTAAGTTCCATCGATTTGGCTTTCTGTTATAAAAACAAATTGACCCCACCATAACATTGTCAAAGCAGTCTGCACATCTACTCCGCTACCCAAAGCGGATCCATTCAACAAGTGTTCCATGTTGCCGAGCGTCTGTTCAGAAATTGATAACAAATGATCACAGTCAGAATCATAGTGATATATATCGAAATGTGGTAAGAACGAAAAGTGGCACAAAAGGCGATTATCCTGTGTTCTTTGTGTGTTTTGTGTTCCATTTGATCGATACATTTATCCTTTTAACACAAAGATCTCTGTTCGTAGTCGAAGACTTTCTTTATATGTATGACAATCGATGCTGTACCGCGAGGAACACGACTTCACTGTCCAGGTGACATTAAAAGTAGCAAATCAGAGCAACGCATCTGCACAACACGTGGCTCTCCCAACTTCATATGACGTAGCATGTCGTGTCGTGTCAAGTTCTCTTTACGTTTTACACTCGTGTCTTTCCCCTTAAACGTTAGGTGTCTTTTGGTGCGACGGCCACAAAGTATGGGATGTAAGCCAGTAGTTCCACGCCACTGATGGAGTCGCCTTTGGACTGGACATAAAACAGAAACGAAATCGTTGTCATTCACTGCGGATATCGTTGTCATTCACTGGATAAATAGCCAAGGCCATAGCTAGTAAAACACTTGCCTCAGTCATATTTTTTTCGTTTTTTGTTGCTTAAAGTCATCATACACGCCCTTAATACCTAGGAAGAGAATTTAACCATGGACATTCCCTTAGTCATACAGTAAAAACTCGCATAAAAGAACAAGTCAGGCTGAAATTTGGTCAAAAAGGTACCATATACATAACAACACATTCAGCCTGAAAGATGAAAATTGTTCTTATATAAAAACATTGACTGCCAGTTAGATTAGAATAACCTACTAGGGTACAGTACTAAGTAGATCAATATATGCTATCCATCAATTAATTAAAATGTTGTGCTTGCACATTGATTTCATCTTTTGGTAGTCTATGCAGTATTAATTTTTAGAAACAATTTTAAGAACACCTTAAGAACATTTTCAGGCTGATTTTGCGGAAAACACCTGACATATAAGAACAAAATCAGCCTGAACCCCCAAAACATGTGTTCTTTTATGCGGGTTTTTACTGTAATTTTCTTCTGGGTATTGTTCTGACAGCAACAACCTATTCGGAACTTTGAATCGGCCTCAGTGTACTGAAAAGGTTTGATGTACATGGGATTCGAGTATTTGACAATCATTTTTGTCCCTAGAACCATTCGCATCCCAGCCGGGCCAAGAAGAGGGGCTGAGCACGAGATCCTGCAGAGCTTTAGCGGCTAATCAGTATACAATAGTTGCTGCATACGTCTTACCTTGCCTAAATTACGAAGAATTTTCTCGATGATTAAAGAGCTCGGATGAACGTTGATAATAGAAGCCATCATGTTCTAGTAAGAGAAAAAAGAGACATCAGAAGATCAAACAGAGATTTCCCCATAAGAGAACATGTTTGACAAAGTGAGCGCGTTCTTTTTCGGTCATAAAATGTTCACCTGAAATGACTGCATGTCGATGATACCACTCTGATTTTTGTCTTCTTTGCTGAACGATTCCTGGAAAAGAAGAAGCTACAAATTTTACGTCGTTGTATAAAGCAAACTTCCGCGACTCGGGCACACTTCAGGATAACTACACGTAGTATTCAACGTCATACTGCTTCAATTCGATTTTGATCAGTAGAAACATAAATGACCAGACTTGATATTCTCAAGACTTGCCACTGATTTTCGTTACAAAACGGCAGAGAGCATTTACAAATTGCTATCTATTAATTTGTGGAGGATTATGTACTCGCCCTTGAAAGGAATCAAGAACTGAAGACCAATAGCTTGGGAAAAGGCAAGGGACAAGTATACTTCAGGAGCCTGATTTACAAACCACAACTAGCTCCCTAATCTGCCTTCGTATAATAAACAAAAGGAAAAGACAAATTCTTTACCATAAAGGTACTGAGCCAAAAATCCATCGACGAAGAGTCCAAGTTGCTGAAGGCATTTGAAACCATCGGGCTGAGGAGCAAAGAGAGCAAGAAAGATCGACATGCACATTCATATTACCCGGCCTATTGATTTTAAGTCTTTAACTAAAGATTCTCTTTTTTTGAAGGTAAGTCGACAAAAACGTAGACTTTCTAAATTTTTGTCTTCCTCGCTCGTAACTCGACAAAGCCTCAATTGTCGACTTGTGGCAACACAAGCAACAACTATGCAGTGCTCTCCATAAAAGATGGACTAATCACTTTCAGTTGAGACCGTATAACAATTATTCTGGCCTGTGGCGTTTCTCTCGAAAAACGCCAAACCGACCAGGAGCGACGAGAAACGGCTGTATGCGCAAGCTACAGACCAGTCAGAGTGGAACAAAATGTGATTAGCAGCGAATGCTACATCTACTTATGACACACTATACACAACGCAGCCATGATCTTCAGTGAACTTGTGTTCACCTTGATTTTTCCAAAAGATCACACATCTGATGAGTAGCAGTGAACTCTTCCAGACCAAAGTAGGTGCTTTCACAAGCCATGTTGTAAATCTAAGAGGACAAGAAAAGATACAAATTGAAAACAACAAATACGACTTCAACTGAAAACTCCACGAGAGAGGATGGATGAAAACAGAGCTTGAACATCGCATGAATCACCTTTTTCAGATAATTTATTTGATGTCTTGTTAAATGCGGTGGTAGGCTTTTCTTTAGTTCATTGAATGATATGTGTCTGCAACAGAATATAGGATATCAAATTATTTTGTTACTCACTCAACTGAAAAAGCAAGTAACATATTGCAATAACAAATTAAAACAAGAAAATATGTCTAAGTTAACACATCGAGAACAATTGTATTAGAAGATTTACTTAAAAAAGCACTAAATAATTTTTNTCCAAAACTTCACAGAAAAAAATAACTCTTGCACGCCTTGCGTGCCTATGTTTTTAATCTCTTACCCATCACAATCGGTGTCCAATTTTCTAAAAGCTTGAGATAAGTACGAGAGATCAGCTTGTTGTTCAGACGAAACCTGCGATTCAAAAGAAAGAAACAGAGAATGTTGCATGACCGCGCGGGGAAACGAATATAATTGAGGACCAATCACACGTATCAGAGTCTTAGTGTTCACTACAGGTTTCTCTTAGCTCTTAGTAAATACCATATAATGCAGTTATTGTATTTTTTCTTTTTCTGTGGTTATTTAACATTAAATGTAACACATCAACGCTTCTGCACTAAACCGTTTTTTTCAAATCTGGCATTCTGCATCTTATACATGCATCTTTTTAGCATCACAAGAAACAAATTATTTCTTGGCTCTCTAGGTTAATTGCGACTGTACACTGTTGGCATAGATTTATTAGAAACAGGTCCTCAGTAAGTCCAACCTTTAGAAGCCTGGGTGTGGTAGATCGTTGTGCGTCACATGCCGTTACAGTTCGTAAAGATGTCACTGATATAACATCTACACGATTCGACTGGTCCTGGAGTTCTCTGAACCAAAAATGAGAAAGGAAAAATGATAAATAATTGCAAGGATACTGATAGTTTTTTTTTTTTTCGGTAAGCGATCAGTGTGGTAATAAACATCTTCTATAGCAGATTGGTAGTATTATTCATGAATACATGACGGTGCACACTAAATACACAGGTCTTTTCGCCAGATTAGGACCATGTGGAGAAATATTATCTTAAGAAGAGCTCCGCCTAATTCACTCTACATGTATGAGATGCGCCTGCAGAGAATCATGGTAGCTGTATTCATCAAAACGAATAGCCAGTCCAAGATGATGAATACAACTACCATGACTTCCCTGCAGCCACGTCTCAGTCGGAATTGGCCATTGGAATCCACAAGGAAAATTAGGTGTACATAACGGGTAGCCACAAACTTTTACGAGATAATCAGCCTTGAATTTCGAACAAAAATGCTGATGCCAGCATTTCTGGAAAAAGAAGGAAAGGGCTATTTCTTCACACCTTTCCCTAGAATTTGCCTTAACATGCAGAAAAGCACACATGTAGGTGAAAAGTAACATGGAATACAAGGAATGAGCCAAGTAATAAGTAATGTATATGAATTAAGGGAGTCAGCTTTATATGAGGATTACGTTCTTCCCTGCTGGCACCCTATTTGCATGTGGATATTTATATATAATTATGGAAAAAAAGTTGTTATAAATAAAAAAGAGTCATGACATCAATAGAATTAGGTGCTTAGATATGGTGAATTACCCCCTACCCCCCCCCCCTGACTCATTACATGTAACAATACCCCTCATCAATATATTCGATCTCCATGCTGTCCATAACTTCTTTTTCATCTTCCACATGTAGGCTTTCATTGACATTTTCAATGTAAATCATTACTTCATCCGGTTTCTCTTTTGCTGGACTGTCAGCAATGGGAACTTGCTTTGTACTAACTATATCCTCCACTTTTAACGGGGATTTGGGGCGTTTCTGTTCAGCCATTTTGGGAGTTGCCTGCTTTATTCTTTTTCTTTGTTCTTGTAGACTGCTGTCACTGTCTGATGCAAGTACATTTATCCTTTTACTCTAAAGAAAATAAATAAGTAAATCAAAAACCCTAACTCCTGCACAAGCTCAGATGGTTCTAATCTATGACAATAAGTCAACAACATTCAGTTTTATAACAAGTTTTCTTTTCTAGTTTTAGCCTTGTATATATAATTTCTGTTACCTTACAAACATTCATGTAAAGACTGGAAAAGCACTGAGACATAAAACAAAACAATTTTTCTGCTTTTCTTCTTTTTCGTCTCACTGCTTAGACATTGTTTAACATACATGTAACTCCTGCCCTATTCCATATTCTCATTCTGGAAAATGGGTAGGTACTACTACCACAGTTGTTTAGGGAATTGAGTCACAAAGACACTGCACGGCAAAAAAAAACCCACTATGTTTTACCTTTCTCTTTGGCTGTAGATAATTATCTGTTCATCAAGACAAAATAAAAGAAAAGTATGGATAGGTGGACAAAACGAATTTATGCTTAGAAACCACAGTGAATGTACTTTTTTTTTGACATTTTATTTTTTCTTAACAGTACAATAAAATACATTACTTACAATACTACATACTTACACTAGTAACAATTCACTATGTCACATACGGCTAATTACATAACTTACTTACGGTACTTACAATGCTGGTTACTTACACCACTGTGAATTACAATACTATTCTTACACTATTTGTGTTGTTTTTTTTTCTTAATTGTGAATGTACTTTTGGTACATGTACATGAAGAATTTTTGAAATGAAGATAAATACCCAGCGGGTAGCAATATGAAAGACTAGACGTGTTGCTAGCATACCATTGAGTTTTGGTTGTTTTCTAGGAGGTGGCCTGTCAGTTGGCTTTACCCTTGTCTCATTATTGGATCCTTCCATTCTTTCTTTGAACATTCGCTGTAAGATATTGTCACAGGTGACTGATCAATCCATCATTTGATCAATGAATCAATCTTTAATTCAAAAAACACTTGGCCATCATTAAATTATGAGAAATAGTATCAATTTTTAAATGAAATTTACCAGGGAAAAATACAATGTATCAATTGGCCTCTGTAACAAAAAGTTCATGTTCAGACCTGCTCAGTGTCTTGATGGCATAATTCTTTAGCGAGAAATTTAACTTTCAATACCTCTCCCCACCAAGGGTACAAATGATTTCTGGTAAATTATTTCATCAACTTTCCAACACAAAACTGCACTATTGGGTAACCTGCATTAAACTAGCATCTCATGCAGGAAGGAGAGAGCAATATCCCTGATCACTGACAGCTCCCAGACTTCAGTCGCTACACTTATGCCATTGTGATATGGGACAACCAGATAATCTGGCTGGGTAAGTTATTTTTACATGCCACTTACCCACAGACAAGTTTTCTAAAAAAAATATTGTGGCAAATGGTCCTGTAAAATAGCTAAATATGTTGACTTACCTCTTTTCTGAAACTTTCTGAGGACCTAGATGTAAGTGTTGTTCTTTGTTCACTATCCTGTTTATGGTGTCGACAACAGCACCGTGAGTGTATGGCAATGCCTTCTGGCCTACTAGCAACCACTTTTTGTGGGTGAGGTGGGTTTGGCACAGCCCGACTATGTGGAGACATGGTTGCAGACACTTCTTTACTTGAAGGAACAAGACCACCCCTTGAAACTGAAGGTACTCTATACCTGGAAAAATGTGTAAGGTCTATTAATCAATGTCAAATGTTCAAAACAAGCTGAGGCAATACAACAAGCTGGTTTTTAAAAGAGATCTATTTGACACTAGGATATGACATTTGACTTATTTTTCATGAATGATCTACATGTAGCACTGTTGTTTCAAATTCTGTTAATCCTCCAGTGACTAGTACCCACGCAAACTCACAAACAGTCTAATTCTTAGACAGTGATTACTAGTTATAGCTACAGTAGCATATACAGGTACCATACTGTGGCTAGAACCAATAAGCCTGCTAGTCATTTTCTGCTACATGAAACAATAAAAGCTTGGCCTCATGAGTCACTGTCTTAATCTAGGTTGTGGAACAAACTTAGCCTCGTACTAACCTCTTATTAATTTGAGTCTGTCCAGCAAGTGTCATCAGATATTCTTTCTTATCTACTGTGGTCTAGAAATGCAAAAAAGTAAAATCAATTATTCATGACTTGTGCAATTTTTTACACATGTATCCACAAAACATTGTTAGAATTAAAGAGAAAGAGTGAAAATTTTTGCTTGCAAGCTAAATATACATGTACATGTAGCCTCGACTGTGTAGTTCCAGAAAATGTCCATACCTCCCTCACAGAAGGGATATTTTCTAAGATACCCCACCCCTATGGAAATTCCAGTTAAGCTTCATACATTTTAAATTTTTGGTCCTACTTATTTTCTAGAAATGCACATTCAACTAAAAAGCTACTGCAGTAAAATTGTGAATGGTTCCAGTTAAGAAGGAATCAAGTTAATACCTGATTTCTCTTGTTACGCAAACTTTCCACAGGTTGACCAAGGGATTGTTGAAGTAGCAGTCTTTGAGAAGTACTCATCCTGAAAGTGATGAGAGATACAGTGTATTTTATAACCACTCAGCAATGTTTCAGAACTGTGTCATACCATTAATAATGAAGCAGGAACTTGTGGTTAATCATGCAAAATGAAACTGNTCATATTTCTGAAAGTTGAATTGAATTCAATTTTTTTAATAAGAGCAATTTAATGCATATTATGCACATCTGATTACTAGCATAAAGCAATATCACACAACTCATGCATATAGTTTGTTTCTTTCTAATACTATTTATACTGGAAAGCTTACATGTACACTGAACTGAGAAACCAATTTTCTACGTTTACGAGGTAGATATTAATCCTAACAAAAAATACAAGACAACCAGCTCACTTACATGTGCAATCCCATAGTTGGAAAGTGAGAGGGACGGCTTGAGTTCTGCCAAGGTTGAGGCAAACAAGAAATATTAAATAATATATCTATAGAATGATTTAGCCAAGCCTGAAAACAGAGTTACTGAACATGAATTTTGTTTAGGAAAAAAACCTTTCACACGATCAATTTGTCCAAATTAAAATTTAAAGTATTATTTTAAAAAGAAAGAAGTAAAAAGTAGCAAGGAAGAATTTATTTTGGCGACTCACAGCAAGTCGTGGATTGAGTCCCTGAGGGAACCAACCACGATCCACATTCTTCCATTCACAATCCAACTGTAGTTGTTTAGTTTTCAAACCAGTGGATCTGCAATTTAAGAATGCAAAGCAAAGAAACATTTTTTTTTTAAAAAAAATCCTTAACTGGGGCTTGCTTGTCAATGTCTGTGTAAGTGGAAAACTATAACATTAACTATTATTAAGGGTTAATGAAACTGTGTGATGTTCAAAGATCAACAATGATAACAAGTAATCATTACAAAATTGAAAACTGTAAATCAAAATAAATACAAAAGAGATATTCTTGGAAACTTGAAAAATACTCTCCTGTTTGCTTTCACTACAATGCATATACAACACTTTTTTTTGTACAAAAATTATTGTTCCAAATGACAAGCAGTTTCCTTCAAATATCTAGTATATAAATACCACCACACTAACCTTTGAAGATCAACTCTTGAAACAATTTCCTGTTAGAAACATAAACGTATAGTCACATACATATAATATTCTTAGTTGATTACATGTATGTAGTTATTAAAGACTTGTTTATTTGAGCTGCTAAGTTGGTACCTCTTCAATGAAGAAGGCAGAGGGAAAATATTGAAAAAACATGTTATAGAGTATCATGTGACAAATGCAATGTTACATTGCATAAGCCTGAGGTATGAACTAATTAATTTATCACTTAAGTGGCAGGGATCAGGAAAGTTTTGACTGTCGAGGTACAGTTCAGAAGTCGTGCTTCTGCCCCGCCGAACTTAATTACAGTTATGATCAACAGTAGCATGGCAGAAATATCACTCTGATTCAGACATAGTGCCAGAGTTGCACCAAATTCAGGATTTCCATGTAACAACTTTCATAACTCCCTTCTGGAACAGAATCCCCCCAAAACACATTAATAATATAATTTACAAAGTTTACTGGGTGTGGCAGAAGCATGATGTTTGAATCGCTGTCGTGCCAGGGTCTTGTAGCATGGCAGGTCTTGTTGAACTTACTGCTAATTGCTTTGCCAAAATTAATTCAACAGTTTGATTCAGACACCGTGCTTCTGTTGTGTTTTGTCAAATTAATTCGTGAATTACGTTCTACATGGCAGAAGCACAACATCTGAACTAGGCCTGAATCTGTTTAATATATTTAATGAATCTCCAACATTTTGCATAATCTGATGAGGCTCTGTTTTCATTTACTTCTTTTAAATGGTCTTCTGTGGGGCTCAAAAATCCACGTCTTTCCTTGAGATGATCATAGAGAAATCAGAAAGCTTTTTACAATCAACAATTTCACAAATAACATGGATTTCCATGCTTAGACTAAGAATTTTTAAGGAAACTGTGATTCAAAAATTGGAATTTTCAGAGGAATAGGGAGGGGGATTCAAACCAAAACAAACCTCTCTATGCTGAGGGGTATTCATATTTTTTAGAACAAAACAATGTGTGTAATTTATATTCTTAGTGTTTCAAGGGCATTTCAGGGAAACTTTGGGCATCCTGGGAATTTTTCACTGTTTCCTGGGCTTTACAGACATGTACATCTTTTAAATACAGATACAACAGTAGCCTGATTAATTGATGAAACCAATAATCAATGCTCTCAATATATAACTGGACTGAAGTCTAATCCTGTGCATGCTCTTATTGGTTGATATATGATCACACCGCAATGGCTACGTAAATCTTAATGTCGATCAGCAGGTGACAATTAAGCAGTTGTTTCCTGATCTCCCACTAAGCATTTATTATTTAACAAATAAAGGAGCCTAAGCCGTGCATTACACCGTCATAAAACATGACAGGCATTTGAAACCACGAGGGAAATGCGGCTTGTGTTTTATACATTTCTCGAGTGTTCTCAAATGTCCGGAGTGTTCTATCAC